TAAACATCAATATACGAATTTATACTATTTCACAGTTTCGAAAATTTCATAAAACGGGTTTATAAGGATCGAAAACGCAAACGGCATAACCGGCTCCACCCGAACACATATATACAAACAACGATTCGGACGCAAAATCGATACTCCGAATTGGAACGAATTCATCACAGCTGCAACAAGACTCGACTTATACAATAAATGAGAGTTCCGATAATCCACGAAAATTCACGAATATATGAAATATACGTAGGAACATACTAATCAACAAATAAACCGAATAAAATCCGACTTCAAACCAACATCCGATAGACCGAGCACAACATATATATAACATGTGATATATGAAAACGATCGTAATATCGAGAGGATTCGAATAAATTACCCGTCTTCGGGAAACTACGAGTTATCGGACGAGAATCGGGCCCGACAGCGGGTCGGACGATCGGCCTCGAAACACGATGAATGGCTATTGCTCACGAACGGCTCGCTCGGACGGACTGCAGGCTTCCCGAGAACACAAAAAGGACGTCGCTTTTCAGTCGGACGGACGTCGAATTCTCCGAACGGTTGCCCGTAGGTGGTTGTGCTTCCCGGCGTTAATGGTGGCGAAACCTGCTGCCGGAAGTGATGGACTCGCGGGAGGAGGGAGGTGCTGCTGGTACGTGGCGAGGTCAAACCAGACGTCGGGCTCGGGAGTTGGTTTCTCGCCGGCAAAAATGGCGAGAGTTGCAGGCGAAAAATTTTGCAGGTTCAATTTCTCTTTTTTTTTTTTTTTTGTAGCAGCAGGATTAAATTTAAACGATGAAGAAGAATGAGGTTATCTCGGTGGGTTTAAGTACACGAAAGGGAAGGAGATCGTGCCCTCGTTGGAGAAAAATCTCACGAGAGAATCGGGCTTGAAATTTGAATGTAAGATAAGTTGGACTTGGTCTGAAGATAGCGAAGAAGAGAACAGAAATCTGTTTGGGAAATTGCACGTGAACAATACATATGGGCCACCATCAATTTCTTATTGGGCTAAGGAGCAAAGAATAAAAAAACTGAAATTGGGCCCAAGACTTACTAAAATTGGGCTAGAGAAACCTTCAACTCAAAGAATTTGGGCCAAGATAAAGGTATAGAATTTAATAATCCGAGTGAACCGAAAATAAATATACACGATAACTAAGAATTTCCGCTCGATTCGATTCAAGGGTTCGATAAAAAAATAATTAACGGAATTACATATATATATATATATATAATACACACAATAATATTTATAATAATAATAGGCATATAAAACAATTAGACATTTAATCACAAATAAATATTTACTAATAATAATAATAACATAAATAAGCAAAAATAAACTAATAAATAATCTCAAATAATTCAAATTCAAACGGGACGTTACATATATAGTACGTGACATTTAATAGACCAAAATGTGAACACGAGTGATGCACGGAGCGCACAATTTTAAGGTCATATATTAGTACAAGGTCACGGGGTGCACAATTTTTTAGTATATGTAATACCAATACATGTTGTATGCACGAGACAGAAGCACTAAATGAGTTATTTCCACAGAGCTTGCCCGTTAAGTAGCTCCTGAACACGGGTGCACAATTTGTAGTACGTACCATAACATCAGAACAGATTTCCATACAATTAGATAATAAATTAGATAATAAATAAAGCTTTTTTTTATTTTACTAAAGATTTTATGTACTTTTTTATTTCCATCCAATTTTGTAGGATGCATTAAATATTGATTAGATTTTATATGTAAAATAAAATAAAAAATAACTGAAATAGTTTTATGTGTTGCAATATTTTATATTTAAAAAAATTAAAAAATCTTCTTTTACGTATTGCATAACAACTTTTTAGGAACTACATAAATATTCTTAAATTAATATTGCATACCCAATATTTTAGGAATTAAATGCTAATTTGATTTGCATACCAAAAATATTAGATGCATTAATTAAATGCTTGATAAAAATAGTAAATCATTAATTAAAGTTGACTATTCTACATACTACATTTAATAAATAGTATAGCTTTTAATATAAGTATAGATGTTTCAGCTTGGATAATTAGTTAAACGGGGAAATTCTACTAGAAGGCCTAACTTTTATTAATTGTATTAATCTAAGGCCTGATTTTTTTACTTTTTCAATAGAAGGCTTATATTTTAGGTTATTCTCACTTTAAGGCTTACATTTTAGTTAACTTTTCATTATAAGGTCCAACTAACTTTACTTTTTAATATAAATATGTAAAACAATTATTATGTGAATAAAATATTATTATTATTATTATTATTATTATTATTATTATTATTATTTTATGATTTATATTTTGCATACTTATAATTAGAAAAGTAATAAATATCATTAGCAAAAAAATTAATAAAAATTAATTTAAAGTTTTTTTTTGGAAGCAAAAGTTGATACTATGTATGCTTGTTGAAAATGATATATTTTGTAG